GAAAGCGAGTGCAATGATAGTTTTATGCTGCTTCTGACAGAGACGACATAGCAAGGAATATTATTTGAAATAAATTTTTTTGAATTCAAAAAAAAATGAAGTTTACTTTAATACATGTGAGTACCTGTCTTTCTGAAGCAAAAAATTTTTGTTCGAATATTTTTTGCGGGGTTCGTGCTACGCTAATGAAAATACGAGCGAATAAGTGCAGATGCCATGAGGGTTATGTTGGAGCCAGATGTGATCGAATGAGGTCTATAGGCCTTCACTGTCCCTCTGCTTATGTGGCTCTTGAGCCGTGGGCAACTGAGCAATGAAATCTTACATTTACTACTAGAACAAGCGATGAGTAAGTTCTGCAATTTCTATGTTGTTCTTTATCGACTTTTGGTGTTTTAGGAGCGGCTTGATCGCTTACTATGGAGATGGCAGCTTTATATAATACCGCTCTCAGAACGTGCAAAATTTCCGTGAATGTCGCGGAATTCCCGGAATTCCGCGAATTTCCCGATGTCGCGAAATTCCGGGAATGTCGCGGACCTTCGCGGAATTCCGGGAATTCCGCGACATTCACGGAAATTTTGCACGTTCTGAGAGCGGCATTGTATCTGTCGAGCTTTATGATGGTCGAACAAAATTGCTTCTTATATTGGCGACTATCCAGCAAGCCACATGTACAGCTATTTCAGAGGTTAGCTCATGGAACTCTTCGGCCCTTTTGCAAACAATATCATACGTTAGTTGCACCGATCTGAATCGCCGCAGTCCCACATTTTGTGGCGCGTTTTGAACTTTTCAAATGAAATCTATTCTTACAGTAAACGATGGCTTGGCACATCGAATCGAGATCATCGTACAAGGAAAGAAATGTTCCTTGACAATTGATGACCAGCCGGTACGATTAGTTGAAAACAATGGAAGGCTAGAAAAATTCTCTATACATAAGAAACAATATTTATACGTCGGTGGATTACCTGCGACTGGAGCTGCTGTTGTAAAATCTTTGTTTCATGTGAAAGAATCATATACAGGGTGTCCCAAAAAATGTGAACACTGTTTGATCGTTAATAACTTCCCTTGCGTTCATGTCTTTCGACGAACTTTGGCTACCATTCTATAGAGCGATGTTTAACTTAGACTTACTGTATGGAGGGAATCGTCGACCGTTCTTCATTACTGTAGGATTACGGTGGGAACTTCGACAAGGGTTTTAAAACATTGGAGGCCATTTTATGCCTCGGGACAAAACCAAACAAGCTAGAAACTCTTAATCAATGGTAATGGAAGCTGTCGATTTTGATTATGAAATTTCCACTTCATTGTGATGCTTCTTTACAAGTTTAGCCCAGGTAAACCGTAGTAATCGAATTTCCAGGATTTGTCAAAAGTGTGATTACACCGTCAAAAAAACTAAAAACACTCGCAAAAGTTGTGTAGTGAAATCAGCGTGAGCGAAAACCCTAGTACACGATTTTCAGAATTTTTGAAAAAATTTTTATCAAATGGCATATTTCGTAACGGATCCACATGTTAGGAGTTCATACCATAATCCTACATTAACGAAGGGCGATCAGTGACTCGCTTCATACTACAAATTCAAGATGAACCTCGCTCTACAGAATGGTGTCTCAAGCTCGGCGAAAGACATGAAAGGAACGGAGTTATTAACGATCAAACAGTGTTCACATTTTTTGGGACACCCTGTATTTTTGAAGGTGAGGTTTTCCACTCTATTGTCAGGTGAATAAAAATCAAATTTTATTTGAGGCTGCATTAGCGATATCTTTGCAAACGATGCGGCTGTGGATTTTGAAAACGCTATAGAAAAAGAAAATAACACCTGGTTGCGCAGGTGTTGTTGATTTCTGTGCAGGTGAATTTTATCGAAAATACCACATTTTTCTTTGAATGAAAATTTTTCAAAGCAGTGAATTGTGGTATAGAAAAGCTGCGAAACAGATGCGACTTCAACTCGTGGTTCCAGTTGCCGCTGTGAGCAAGGTTTTGTTGGAGAATTTTGCCAAAACCGTATGGAAATTTCCAATTTTCTCCATCCAAAAACTTTTCATACGTCGCTGGATTTTTAAGGAGTGTTCACATGTAATAAGGAAAAATTCCGAAGACATCATTATGAGGGAAATTGTCGATCTGTAGATATGGTAAAAAATACCGAATGTGTCGGTTCCTGTGGGAAAGGAGCGGTGAGTATTTTTAGTATGAATAATAAAAAAGATTTACAAATTGAAGCGAACAAAGTATTTTTCCAGATTTTTTAGTGAAAGCATTTTTAGCATTGAGTAATGACTTGGTCATACTTTTGAATTCAAAATAACGCTATAAAGATTTCAAATTAGAAGATATAAGAGTTAACTGAGCATTTTCTCAAAATGCTTCTCAAAATCCTACTCAATTAACTCTATCTTGTCTTGCACTGTTTGCTTTGTCACTGCCCATTACGAGCAAAGTAGAGTAAATTTTTGTGTTCAGAATTTCTTCATTGTATATTAGAGCTTTTGCCGCATTAGTATAAATTTCTGGATGTTTAGAACTGCTGTGCAGCTGTAAAAACAAAACAAAGGAGGCTAAAAATGGCTTGCCGCAATGGGCAAATGTAAGTTTGCTTAAGATTTCCAAATCTGCTTGAGATTTTCAAATAGAAAAAAATTACGATTTTGTTTTTTTTTTGCAGAAAACACACCGTAGTCACGATTGTTCGCAAATGCTAATGTTCAAATACATGTCGATTCTTTGCTAACTAGGCGATGAATTTTACACGATAATTGATAATCTATTGTGTCATAGCATTCGTATTTCAAGGTTTTAGGTAGCTGACAGTAAGTACACTCATTCTGTACTGCCACTAGCTCGGTTCCACTGGAAACCGCCTTATGTGTTTTCGTTTCGTTACATTTTTTTTGTATGGTAATGTGTAAGATGTTAGCAGCTTCACGCCATTCGGATGAGTCAACATATGTCAAGGAAAAACTCCAAAAAGTTCTATTAGTCCTGTCTCCCTAATAATTTAGTTAACATCAAGTTACGCAAGACATAGCTTTCTCTGTTATTTCATTTGTTGCATATCGATGTCCTGATTATAACTTTTATATCTATAATAAGAGAATTTAAACTGCAACTGAGAGGATTGAAAAGAAAGGTTATGAAAGAATGACTGTGCTTTTGCATAGCGTTTCTACTCTTACGCAGTCCCCTTTGATTAGAAGATCTGCAAACATTACCTGCACTAAAATCATTATCGTCTTATGTAAGTTATGCTCGAAATCCGGTGATAAGTACAGCTGTTAATATTATTTCAAAAAACGTGAAATATTCAAAGCTTGGCCTATCAGACTTCTTCTGATACTTTTAACGTATTTTCCAACCTCATTTCCAAGTAAACCTAAGAATCTATCCAACTTTCTGGTGCAACTAAAAGCATTAAATTTTTTACTCTGACTTTTTGCCTCTAAATGGAGAGAAAGAAGGAAAAAGTTTTGAGGCTATTTCGTCGCCAAGGTATCGTTCGTCTTCTTTGCCACGATTATTGTGTCCGCGATGAAACAGGGAGCTTTATTACAAAGAATGAGTATACAAAATTGAAAAATCATCATGATCGCTGATTTTTACATAAATGCTTAACCATCATTATTCTACATCAAATCCCAATTCTACAACCCACTTCAGCCAAGATAGATGATTACGACAAAGTTTGAACAAAGGACCATCTATTGCTGCTTGATTATACGAATTCTTGAATTGCTTTTAGCTTGAATTTTTTTTGATTGGTATGAATAAATATTTGCTGCTTTTTCATGGGATGATTTGTACTAGACTATTTTCGGTGCACACACAAGCCAAGTAAGCTTTGTTGCAGGAAATCTTGAAGATACGACCACGGAAATTTTTTACGTAATAGAAAACACTAGGAAAGCCTCAGAATTTGAGAGACCACCTCAGAATTTGAGAGACCACCTGGCAAAGTTGAGGAGAAAGTCGGTTTTACAAACTACACCACTGTTTTTATTTTCAATTGATTTCAGAAATATTTTTGTAGGCTTAAATTGCTTGTTCATTTTCGATTTCAAACCCAGTTCCAGAATTTTGCAAAAAACAGTTCAGGCAGGAGGACGTCTCCCCCTCCCCCCCCCCCTCAAGAGGTAGCGTTGTAAACAGTAGAAGAAATTAGCATTGCAAGTGAGCAATCATTTTTTTCCTTGCAGCAAAGCAACGATCAACACAAACATAAAGTTTTATAGATTTTATTTTAAAAACGAAATAATATCTCATAGCATAAGGAAAAATAATCGAATTAGAAGAATAAATAGTAAAGATGTAGGTAAGGAGAACTTGTTCGCGTAGTTGCATAAATTTCCGCCACATGTGCACACCTCGAGATTTCCTAAAATTTAGTAATTTTTGCCTGAACATCAAGCAGTTAATCTGAAGGAAAGGTAAGAAGGCTTTCTGAGAGATAAGATTGATATACATGACTTTTATTCCATATATCATTACTGTATACTAGCGGATGTCCCAGCAATTCTGTGGGGCGTGGGGTTAACGCACTTCGAAAAATTTCCTGAGATGGTTCCCAAAACTTTTGGGGGTCCATGACCAGATATATTTTACATTCACTCTCCCGGTTTCAGAGTTTTTTTGGTACTTTTCCTTTTTGTCTGAGTAGTCTTGCAGAGAAAGAGCCTGTTTTTGAAAGTTGAACCTCAGAGACAGCTATTCTTGCGCGAATGAACTTTACAAATTCTTAAAATTTTCACAATAGTTTGCAGTCTAACTGGTAATAGTTTTTAGAAAACATGTGCAGACGGTTGTAAAAAAGTTAATTGATAGCCCACCTTCACTACTAGATACACGTGTACAGTCTTGTCGAATCTGTTTCTTTGTTTGCGCCAAACAGCTTCGCCACACATAGCTCATACCTGAATCGATTTTTTAACTCAGAAATAAAATTTATTTTTTATTCAAGTGGGTGAACAACTATCTTCGTACTAACCATTCTTCTGCTGTATTACCATTTTCATGCATGTTCCTTGTACGCACTCATGATTCTTCACTCCACCTCTCAGCGCCAGATCAACCTAGATTAAATTTTACAAGAAGAAGCGGCTATAAAGCTAAAATGAAAGTGGCTTTAACAATTTTTTATATCAAAGAAAATTACGAAAGCTACGGCTACGAAAGTAATTTCGCATTCGATGCAATCTTTCAAGCTCTTTCAGATGCATCTTTATATCGCATTGCAACATATGAGCTATCAGAAAAGTGCCAAAACCCACGATCACCATGGTTTCTACCAGGGAGAAGTTCAGCAATTTTTCAAACTTTTGTACCGACCCCAAGAAGTCCAAGTAATATACAAGGTGTCCCAAAAACTATGTATACACTGTTTGATCGTTGATTCTCTCTTCTTCTTTAGTCTTTTACCTACCTTCAGGTACCATTTTGTAGAGCTAGCTACTAAGATTTGCAGTATGGAGCGATCAACGACCTTTGTTCATTACTGTAGGATTACGGTAGAAACTTCAAGAAGGGTTCTGAGCCACTGAGGGTCCTGTTTCGCCCTAGAAAGCAAACCAAACTGGAAACCATTACACTAGTCTAATTAGAGTCTTAGAGCAGTTACCGTAGTAGCTGCCTTTACAATGCTCCCTAAAATTGTGATCACACAATCTGAAAAGCATTACAAACGTTTAGGAAGTTTAGTAATGAAATCAGCGCGTGTAATGTCCTTTTTACGCCAGTTTTCGGAATTTCTGGAAACTTTTTTTTCGAAACGCGACTAATCCACAATGACGTTGTAAGCCAAAATCTCCTACCATAATCCTACATTCATGAACAGCGATCGATGGTTCTCCACACTGTAAATCTAACAATAAGTTGAAGCCTTCCTAAGTAGCTCTACAAAATGGTACCTCACGTTAGGTAAAAGACTTCTTGGGAAGAGAAATATTAGCGATCAAACAGTGCATACATACTTTTAGGACATAACAATTTTGTTCTCCTTCTAATAGCTCCCCATAATTTTTTGACAGAATTTTTAACAACACCATCGAATTTTAGCAAATCTTTATTAGACGCAGGCTCGTCAAACACCAATAAATTCTCAATTTTTGATAATTTCAAAAGTGGATCATGATTCAGCACTAATTTTATCAAAAGTGGATCATGATTCAGCACTAATTTTACAAAACAAAGAGTGTTCTGGTACCAGAAATATCAAATTTTGGACTCATCGGATACAGCTTGGGGCGCCTTGAAAATGTGAATTTTGTTAATTTTATTTCTCAAGACATTACGACACGAGAACAAAGGAGAACATGTTGCATCGAAAAACAAGTAAGCTAGGTGGGCGAAGAGACTTTTGTATCCTAAAGGTTTGCTCAAATTATCCGCCACTTGGGTTATTTCAGAGCTTCAGTATAAGATTCTGGAAAAATAGCGAAACTTGACCTTGCTAAAAACCATGGGTCGTGGTATTTGCCAATTTTCTCAGAGCTCATCTGTTGAACCGCAATATAGAACAATCATTTGAAAGAGATGGAAAACTACATCGAATGCTACCAAGATCTTTAATATATCTTTGTTCCGCGGAGTGTGGCGATTGTTCAAAAAAAGTCGAAGTTACTTTTAAAACGACCTGGTATTGACTTTACCCATGACAAAACTATGCGTTATTTTGTAGCAAAGTTTCCTGTTTCAGCAGTGCTATAACTGCGATAAGAGGATATGTCTACGATACTGGAAGCTTGACGACTCAAGATCTCCAAATGCTTATTTGCGGGGGATTATAGCCGCCAAAAAGGGAGCGCGACATTTGTCAAACGGACCACACTACACTTTTGAGCTAGTGGCAGTTGTCCGTGAGGAACTTAGTGATAAAAAGAAAAAATATATCTAGGTCAAATTTCGATTTACCAACTTTTGAATTGAAACGCGATCCTTCTTCGGATCTCATAATTAGAGAGGAATTCGCAAAGTTAGAAAAACAATTATACTTTTTTAGTGGTGTTTCATATTTTTGTTTACTTCCAATTCAGCTCTGAAAGTAGCAAGTAAAGGTATTACAGCACCGCTAACACATGATAAGCCAGCAATTTCCCGTTCACGAGTTACCTTGTAAATTTTAGTTGATGCTTGTACAAGAGAGCTCACAAAGAAATGCCTGCAGATACCTAAAAAACTTAACGCAGCGGAATTTTATTTTACAGTAGCGTTAAATGTGCTAGTGTACAAATTCAATTTTGAAAACTTTTGCCTGCAAAACCATACCCTTCTTTAAGCGGCCAAATTGGCAGAGATCCACACAATTCACCTAACATGATAATCACTTGGAAATAAGAATCTTCCACTTGAACTTTCTCAAAGCCTTCTTCAATCACTCAAAATGTCTTAATGTACAGATTGATTGATTGATTTTGTCCTCCACGATAATAGAAGGCACGGGCTAAAAAACGAAGTTCGTTCCTGCAGCTCGCTTTCCTAGTTCTCGTATTTTTTTTTTGTTACGGCGTTTATCACAAGTGGCGTATACTGTAGGTGCCGCAAGATGAGCAAACAAATCGCATAATTTGTTACAGGTAACAAAAATGGCTTAATGTCCGATGAAATTATTCCAGCGTGATGGAAACATATCTCAAACATATTGAACCAATAAGCGTTTCAAAAATTAGTTTTCAATTGGACCAATCAAAATATCAAACACAGAATTCATTGTGTTTGATATTTTGATCGGGTGCAATCGGGTGCAATCGCAAGAAGCAAGCATAGTTTTTCAACAAGCAAATGTTCTGGAAGAAAATTGTTCTGTTCTTACTGTTCTAAAAAATGTTCTGGGAATTTTCAGGCTAGAAAATCTTTGTCGGAGGGGCTACGATCCAACAAGACTATGCGTTTTATAGCCAAAGGTTCCCTCTTTGCGAATAGGTTTTATTGCGCTCAGAAATATGGTGCACAGAACGTTCAGCAATTATGAGACAACCTAATATGTGTTTGATGAAACGGGAATTATAGAGCTGATGATAGAAATGTCTAGCCGCTAGTAAACATTGTGGCTAAAATGATTTCCTCGGTTTGCGTCGCTGTTGCTATTCGGTAAAATTCCTGTTTCACCGATTCGATATATTGAATGTGATGGGAGCAGCATCGATACGTTTGGATACTCTACTAATATGATATGGTGTTAATATTTGAGTATTTGATGTTGCATCAAATCTGAAATTATACGTGGTATAGATTTTTCAAATTTTAACGCGATATTAGCTTTTCTGAAAGGCGCACATAAAACAATGTTAAGGTGAAAGAGCAAAAATTAATAAAGATCAAACTTGAATGAAAGACATTTTGACATTGAAGTCTAGGTGGTTAATCGCATTTTCCACCATTGTATTTTTAGAATACTATCGTCCGTAAATAAATTGATGTTCCTTTTCCTAGCTCAGCTAACGTGATAATTGCAATTTCCATTCAGCATATCATTTAACAATGGCAGTCAGTCTACAAAGCGTAAGCTGCTAAATCCCGAAACTTGCTTTGAGGAAAAAAATTTTGTACGAAATAACTATTTTTCTGGAATAAAAAGGAAATTTGCCCAAGATGTAGTACTAAAGACCTCACTGAAAAAAGTTCAATTGGGGCTTGGAAAAAATGCCTACCTTAAAGCTATCCGCACACTGTTCAGAATAAGGTGCATATCGAACATTTTCAAGCCATCGTAACCAATTCGGATCGGCAATTTCTTTTAACATAGCGTTTGCGTCAATTGTTGTACATACGTAACATCTATTACCACTTGCTTCCAGACCTAAACTTAAAATGCGTGCTATTTTTATAGAAAAAAAACTAATCTTCTAGCTTACTGGATAATAGTGAAGTAAAAATCACTATCGTTTCTCGCAACCGTTCCATAGGGGATTTCAGAAACTAATGGTAATTATAAAGCTGTAGATTCTGACTATAATTACATGAATTATGATGAATGCGGGAGTACGGTAATTGGATATAGCAACGATGTGGTTACGGTAGAAAATCACTGTGGAATTATGAAAATATCATGTATGCTTTTACAACGCTTTTAACAAATGTTGTGGAAATAGCAACAGCCATAAAAAAAGAAAACTGAATTGAACTGACACATGGTTACGGAAACCTACGTTATGAGAAAAAACATGTACTGTAAAAGAAATAGGTATGATTTAAGATAATTCGAAAAATAAGAGAGGAACCAATAGCAGCGGATGAATGCCAATTATTGCGAAAACCATCTCAAATCTTCTAATTAATTTATTAATTAGGCCTGAGCCAAGGTGATGATACAAAAAGTGTAGCATACGTACATTTCGGCTCGATCGTGAACCTAAGAATGGAAAATTTGTCATTAACAGCTTAAGTCATATTCTATCACCCTTTCCAAGTCCTTGAGCTGTTTCCTGTTCAATTGATGACGTTTTCAATTCTTAATATGTGGCCCTCCTGCCCAGTAGAAATAGCCAGGTCGACTGCTTTCTGTAAAGGGAAGCATATTTGAAGGCCTAACAAACTTGTTGATTTTTATAGTAATGTTTTCCCTGGCAGGTTGCAGAACCCGTTTAAACAGATGCCTTGAATCGAATTGTAGGCAATCATGAAGACAAACTGCCCTAAACGAATGGTCGTAACGTCTGGTTTCCGTGCCCTGATTAGGCTGCGCGACTATTGACTTTTTAAGCTATATGGACAGTAATCAGTGAGATCAATGTGAATGGAAAGGAGTACATTTCAGATTAAAAATTATCCTTTAATCTTCCTATTTTTTAACATCATGCACCTTTGGTGAGAAGATTGTGAATTTCAAATCCTTCATAAGCTTAAAAATTTTGCATTCAAATAGAGAGGAAACAAAGTCGCTTTATCACACAGGATTTTCCTAGAAAAGTGAGCATAACGAGTCTAAACAGAAACACCAAATTATCGTCAAAGAATACGCTGTATAGACCCACTAGATAAAGAGAAAATTTGAAATTCGAGAAATTGCCTGAGAATTTTGAAATTTCAAATTTCGTTTACGCAAGAAGTGAGCAAATCCGCGCGTTCACGGCCACTTGTAGCACATCTCCACAAGCTCTCACAAAATCCTGTTTCCAATTCTAAAATGTTGGCAAAAAGCAAAGGCCGCTTAGATTGTAGTACTTGATGCCGAGACCAGGAAGGTTTCCCTTAGTGCTTTTCTGAAGCTTCCAAATGCGATTCTTTAAGTCCGATCTGTATGGATGATACTGGGCAAGATCTGAGCGGTAAAATTGCATGAAATGGAGTGGAATGATTGAGATAAAGATTGTGAAGAGGCATGACGAAAATAAATGTTCTGACATAGTATGAAAGAAATCAAAAGCTGTTGTATCCAGGGAATTACTAGATTTGATACTCAAGTTGTGCATCAAAAATATTGAAATTCCATTTCAAAATGTTCAAATAATTTTTTTCGAAGTACATCGTTCACTTTCTGTAACATAACGCAAAAGTCGTATGTTGTCGTAAGTACTAGAGTTTTTTGATTTAAAGGCAAAGAGTTAAATCTTTGTCGAAAATCGAAATCGAAGGTAAAATCACAGCATTTTGTGTTTTCAGATTAGCACGAATTCCCGCAGACTAAAAAACCTTCTCATGGAACCAAAAGCAAAACTAAAAGGGAAATCCAGTAGAGTTCTAGTTACTTTAGGTAAAAATGCAAAAATCTATTAATTAATTAATTTATTTAATTTAATTTTTGATTTTCAATTTTTTTTATTCATTTGATTTATCAATTTTTTTATTTGTTTTTATTTTATTGAAGTTGGGAAAGAATATAAATTTTTAGGCTTTTGAGCACTTATGCGGCACCCTAAAATAACGAAAAACTATTGTAAGCAGAAAGAATTCTTGTCAGATATTGTGATACGCAGAGACACATTAGAAATTTAAAATTCAGAACGTATTGCGAAAAATTTCTTTTCTGGCACGTTTAAGATGTGAATTGAGCGTAGTGTGCAGTACACTTGAGCAAGGAACCTCAAGAAATAATTGAATGGAGTAGAATTTCACATAGAATTGTGACCGGAAACAGTGTCGATCACGAATTGAGCGTGAAGAGCATCCTGACAGGTGAGACCGAGGGGTCAGTGTGTAGTGTGTCAATAGAACGGGGAGCAAAAGCCCCGTACCCCGAGAGGCGAGACCCAGAAGGCGGCTCTCATTCACTTTGGACCACTTAAACATCAAGCAGCCCGAGGCGGCTAAGCTGTTATTTGCGACGGGTTGAAAAAAAAGTCGTGTAGGTGTGGGTATTCACGCCTAGAGCGAAATGCTAGAAAAATTAGACAGTATTAGCATACAATATCGCTCACAAAGCGTGCGTTCCTTGATTGCCGCGGATTGCCGCGTGATTCCCCAAATCACGCGAATTTCCGAGAAATTCGCGACATTCACGGAAATTCGCGGCATTCACGAAAACTTTGCACGTTTTTTGAGCGGTATTGTATTCCAGGCAGGAACTCCGCTAAGAAATGTGTCGAAAGTACCATCTACAGGAAGGCGTTGAAATTGTTACCGTACATCGGTCATGTTATTCAAGGTTGATTGAGTTCTTACGGACGACAATTTGGCCAAGTGTGTGGCTAATTGCGCTGACGGAAACCACCAACAGAAACAGTTCTCTCTTCGCTATACCGCCTTTACTCTTCGGGATGAATCAATAACAATTGAGGATCGCTCTTTTCCGCCTTTTGAGCACTAAACATAACAGTGTGTGCGTAAAGGTCAACTCGATGAAGCAGCCGGACAGACGGTACACAGCCAAGAAGTTTAACAAGGTTGAGTAGAAAAGTAAATAGCGGCAAATGTGATGGGCAGCGCGCTGGGCACTAAAGCTTACTCAGGGTAGATGTGAATAGCTAAACCCGAAAAGGTTATTTGGAGCCTTCAAAAGGCATTGTTAGTGGGTGCAAAGGGGAAAATATTGGGGTGAGTTAAGTCATGTACAGAAAAAGATGAAAGTTGGTTTCTGAGAGATTTGACCCTCAAAGCAAAATATATTATGCAATACTGCAATGATACAAGATGCGTGGAAAAGTGAACTAAAAGTAGTTTTATCGGGTTTTGCTTGCGCTCCGTACTAATTTCTACTCATTTGCTTTTGATTTTGTAACAAGTTTTTTTATCTGACAGAAATCCGTGCTGATCGGACGCTTCTGCGATCTAATTTTTTTACTCAACATTGCCTTTTGAATCAACTAATGTTTATCGTAAAATACAGTTTTTGGTACATGTTACAAAAGGTGATTGATGTGCCTTCGAAAATTCGAACATTTCAAAAACGGTTTTTTATATTTTCTTTTTGTTGCAAGACTTCCGCATCAAGCTAGTATTAGGTTGCCCCGAAAGTTCTGTCGATTTTTTTCATCGATCACTAAAACTCACAGAACACTACTGGATGGCATTCAGGTACCGTTCGTTTCAGATTTTTATCCTCTTTTATATTTGCTTTCTGATCTAGGCTGTCTTTGCGATGTTCTCGCTATGGTTCTTTGAACTTATAGTAACGCCAAATTCCCTGAAGTTCAAAAACCCCTTCTTAATACCTCAAAAAGGCGTTGGTAACTGTTATATAGAGTAAACCTTTGGCTACATTGCAACACTTTTGGATTACACATATCACGTTTATCAAGTCTGTTATAATTATTTATTTGGGAAAAAACATAACTTTTTGGGCACGTTTGGCAGGTAGTAATACCGAAAAAGCCAAAAAGCTGGTTTTTCAAAACAAATCGAACTTGATTACGTTGCACAATTGATGTTTAAAAACAATCTAGTTTTTAGCAGAATCTTTGGAAGCTTTCATCTTTCTGCTGCAGTTGCGTGTTCCAAGCCCTCACCAAAAATCAAGATCTTCGAAAAAACAGTTTTTTAAGGCTGGAAGCAGCAGATCAGGAAAATCTAAAAACATTACATATAGTATGAGAATTCGTCTATCTGTGGCATACTTACTCCTTTACAAAACTTTGGGATAAAATTTCAAAAAATTAGCCGAACTTCGAGCAGATAGAAATAAAGGGTACTGAATTTTGGCAATTACCAAAAAATGCGTAAAGGATGGTTCGAAAATATAGTCGTAAGAAGGAGGAGGAAAAGCTGCTCGACGTGGTTTTATAGTCGTTTGAAAAAACCGACAAAAATTCCGGACAACCTATAAATTTTTGTTTTGTATAGTAAATTTAGCATTTAATAACACACATATTAGATAATTGATTTGAAAAATAACAGAAGAAACAGATTGAGAAATCCAAAACGTAAGTATTCGTTGAGGTATTCTCGTCCGATCACCACGCTCTCAGGAAAGAATAGGGTGATTAAAAAATATTGATTTAATGGACCATTTCGCATTGTATCTAGCAAAAAAAGGTTCAAAAAGGAGCAATTTCTGTAGATATCAGCTTGTGCCAGCAACATATGTATAGCAATATTACATCTTGCTCTAAGTGAGCATCACTAGAACATAATTTCACTGAATATCGGAACATATCGAAATAAACCAATTTAATCGAAAATGGTTTTAGCGGGTTTACGAAAATTCTGGTTTTAAATTCTTATTGTATTTGTAAAATCTGTTTTGTTATATAACGATTGCACCCTGCTATATGAGCATTGCCACGATAGAGGCAGTGAAGAGTAAATAGCGTCAAAGTCAAATTTTTTTATAAAAAATCTTGGCATAGTGTTAGTGACTAAGTGCTAAATATCGAGTCTTTTCCCCAAGTTGTTGAAATATTGTGTACTAACTCAACTAACAGCATATGCTTTTGCAAGTGAAGGTGAAGTGACAAACGCCAAGCAATCTTCTCGAAAAAGCGAGATTTTTACCCAAAATTTCCTGGATTTTTTCTACGAAATAAATG